CTCGAACCCAGGTACAGTGGAAGAAGACAAGTCACTTCCATCACCAGACCAAACCCTGGTTTGCACGTATTTCTAAACACTTAATCGCTAGGCTGGTGTCTACGTTTCAAGTGATTCAAGAGACAACCTTGACCACATTCCAGCTTAATATGGGCCTGGGGCAATGTCTCTCCAATGTCTTAGGGTCGTGTTAAGTAATGATGTGTTTAATGCGATCTACTCGTGAGGTCTAATAGAAAAGGAGTTTGTTCACATTATAAATGAAAGAGGAAGAAGATCTTAGGCATATAAGAGCTTGAGTTGAGCACTACTAATAACATAAAACTTAAAACTCTTGGATCATTAAAGGATGAAACGCAGCTCAAGTGTTCATTTGATATTGTAATAATAATTTTTTTTTAATATTTTTTAGATGCATATACGCTTGGGGCAATGCAAACAAATGTCTAATGTAGTTAATGAAATTGACTATGTGCATGGTGTCATCTGATCAGGGTGATGAAGTTAGCTGAAGAAAAATACAGTAGTCTTACTAAATAAAAAAAATCTATTTTTCCAAACTGCATTACATGTGAATTAAGTATGTATTAATTATTATATATTCTATTTGAAAATATAATTTTGGTTATTTTTTAAAATATTTTTTATTTATAAATATATTAAAATATTTTTTTTTATTTTTAAAAAAATATTTTTGATATCAACACATCAAAACGATTTAAAAATATTAAAATAATTATATTAATTTGATATAAAAAATTTAAATTTTTTCAATTTCTTTTTTAAACATAAGACCATTTTCTATTCAAAAGATTAATTTGATCGAATTTTTATTAACAAATATTTTTTTTTGAATAGATAATTAATATGAGATAAATCTATTTATATATTCTTTAAAATATTTATATTTTATGTCTTTGTAAATAAATATAAAGGTACTTACAAAAGAAAATCGTAACAAAAAGAGCAAAGGAGTTAATTTTTATTTTAATTTATTTTTACATGTATTTCAAATAATATAATTGAATTCAAAATTGTTGGCAATTATAATTAGGAAAAGTTAATACCATATAATTATTAAAATTATGTAAGGTATAATTTTTATAAATTGATTTTTTTTAACTTGTTAGTAAAACCCAGAAATAGACATATTTGATTAATTTTTCTTAACTTAAATAAAAAATTTATTATAAAATTGAGTCAAGTTTTTTATTTAATCAAAAAAATAAAAAGTTTAATTTTGAAGTTGTACCCCATTCGTTTTTTTCCTTTCCTTTTTTTTTTTAAAAAAACACCCGTTAAAAATTATGTGCTCTTCGATTCAGTATGAATGGCTGACACTTGCAAGAAGCAGGCTAATTCCTACAAAATGTTGTTTCAGTTTCTCAAACTCTTGGCAGTTCCAGTTCAGAACCTCTCCGACCAAACACCGAATCACGTTTGCAACGTGAAGAAAGCTGAATTTCTCTTTTCTGCATAGAGATGGACGCCCTCCTCTGACCGTTGACTTATGCCCTCTCAGGTGCACCGTCTTTCCGCACAGCCAAATAGCCCACATGGTCATAACTCATAAGCATTCACTTTCCTATATAAACAGGCCCACCCCACACTGTTTTCTCACACAAATTCCATCACTTTCTCCGTACCCAAACAAAGAAAAAACATAACCTCACAGTCACCAAGAATCAAGATCAATGGCGGCTTATTCAAGCTCTGCTTTGAGATCCATCTCTTCCGTGAAAGCATCTGCAGCAAGATCACACACCTGTGGCGTTGTGCCCACCAAACCATCACTCTTGTCTTTCAAGCTGGCCCAAAACCCATGTCTCCTCACAAAATCTACAAGCCTCGGCAACTTCTCTGGGACGAAGAGATCCTTCTCTTGCAAAAGCCAAGCTGCCTCGAACGAGGATTCAAGACCCAGTAAGTGCGATCTTTGCTGTTTCTCTGTTTTTTATCTTATACAAAAGAAAAAAAATTCCAGTTATTTAATGATCGCACCCTTTTGGGGATTCGTGCTTTTGCTTGTTGCAGCCAAAGTTCAAGAGCTGAGTGTCTATGAGATCAATGAGAGAGACCGTGGAAGCCCAGCTTATCTTCGTTTGAGCCAGAAATCTGTTAATTCTCTTGGCGATCTTGTGCCTTTTAGCAACAAAGTAAGTCATCTCCATGATCTGAGTTTCGCTTGTTTCCCTTGATAATCTTTCTTTTATGTTGGGCTGCTGGCTTGCCACTTGTTCTCTTTTGAATTTGTTTCCTTGTAATATATTTTCCTGCAAAATTGCGAAAAATTCCTGGAGATTTTCTCGACCTTCATCTTTTTCCTTACATATTTTTTCTTCAATCACTTTAGTTTCTCAATGATCAAAGCAAGTTCCTTGGTTTCAAAATAATGGGTAGATTTTAATGGATTGAAATAATATTTTTTTAATATATTTATATATTAAAATGATTTAAAAAATAAAAAGAATAATTTGAAGGATAAAACCAAAATTTTTGAAAATTTTAATTGAAACGCTATACACCAAACCGACACTAAATGGCCGTAGCAAAAACAAGATAAAAAAACATTATTTATTTTTGAAATTAGAAAAATATTAAAATCTATTCTTGTAAATCTATGATTTGATAATTTTTTTTTTATGATTTAGAAAATAAAAAAGAATTGATAGCTACCTTCTTATATGGGGTGAGGAGTAAATTTAATAAAAAAGAATCATTAGAACGCGACGCTTTATAAAATGCACTTTCAGACAAGAAGGTAACATGATAGTGATCCATTAAGACATTACAATAACAATAATGATTCCTTAAGATCCAATAAAATAACCACGTTTTGATTTTAAATAAATAAATAAATATATTTGTTTATAGAAATAGAAGATATAATCTTTTGTGATCTTAAAAAATAAAATGCAGAAGAATATTTTTTTTAATCCTAAAACAATAATTAAACATTATATTTTGTTTTTTTTTGTAAAATTGATGGTGGCTGTGGGCTGTTTCTCATTATTACAGCTTTACACCGGAGACCTACAGAAACGGGTAGGAATAACTGCTGGACTATGCGTGCTGATCCAAAACAAACCGGAAAAGAAAGGTGACAGGTATGAGGCGATCTACAGCTTCTACTTTGGCGACTACGGTCACATTGCAGTGCAGGGATCTTATTTGACATACGAGGACACGTATCTCGCTGTGACTGGAGGGTCAGGTATTTTTGAAGGGGTGTATGGTCAGGTTAAGCTACAGCAGCTTGTGTTCCCTTTCAAGCTGTTCTACACCTTTTATTTGAAGGGTCTCAAGGAGGACTTGCCTGAGGAGCTGCTTGGGAAGGCTGTCGAGCCTAGCCCCGCTGTCGAGCCGAGCCCCGCGGCTAAGGCTTGCGAGCCACACGCTGTCATTGCTAATTATTCTAACTAAAGATGTATTGGCCGTGGCTAATAAATTGACTTGGTTTGCTTGCTACTTTGCTACGAAGCAGCCGTGTCGTCTCACTTTTCTTTTCAAATTTTGTTTTGAGCTTCCCAGCTGTTATTCCTAATCTTTGTTTTTAATGAAAAAAAGAATAATGTAATATAACTAAATATATAAAAAACATCTCACAAAAATATATTTGAAAAATAAGAAGAAATATTATACACGTATAACTTGGTGCGGAGGATGGACGACATGTCAACCATAGTCTTCTCTCAAGTAAGGGTTGTGGATGTATATATATATTCTTATTTTGTTTTCACCAAAAATTATATAAAAAAAATATCGATGACCTCATAAACACAAATCTATCATCAATCAATTATTTTAATTTAGCTACGTTTATTGTTTATTTGGAATATCTATTGGTAATGGTATAAAATTTCTAAATGTGGGTTCTTTGTAATTTTAATTTTATTTTCAAGGTATCTCTTCCCAAAATCTTAAGAGATGATGGAGGGGGATTTCATAAATTTTACACTCATACATCTAATCATATCCTTATTAATTATTTAAAAAATTGCATTCAAAGAACCAAAATCTTAAAAATAAATAAATTAAAAAACAACATTGTTTTAGTAAAAAAAAAGTTTTTTGAGTAAACTCAATTTTATTTTTTTAATTTTTTTAAAAATATTATTTTAATAAAAAAAACAGATTTTTTTACTCAACATGTAAAATAACCTAGAAAATAAAACTCAATTTTTATCCGTCCCAATTGAGGGTGGAATGCCGGCTGTTTATTTGTCCTCAATTAATAACCAACCTCCATCCAAATTATTAAATAGTATTTTTTATACTTAGAAATAAATTCTTAAATTATTTATGTAAAGTTGATATTATCTTTTATATACATACATATATATATATATATATATATATTGTTGAGCTTGTTTGTTTTTATATTTATTTTTTTACTTAATTTTTTTATATTTTCATAATGTTATATTTTGATGCTAATATTAAAAATAAAAAAAATATTTCAATAAAAATACTTTAAAAAATAATTTTACTATGAAACTAAATATACTCAAAGTAAAATTAAAAATAATTCTGCATGAATTTCAACTATAATTTAATGTAACTATCAGAAATTGTTATTTCCCCCCTACAAAGTTGATGTTCATAAATTACCAGGAAAATTAACATTAAAAAATCATATTAAGATTCAAACTGTCCTGTAGGTTTAAATTCTTGTAGCGTTTTAGTAACGTTGTTTGAAATGTTGTTCAATAAAAAATTATTTATTTTTATTTAAAAAAAATATTTTTTATTTTTTAAATTATTTTTATATACTAACATAAAAAATAAATAAAAAATATTAATTTAATATATTTTTAAATAATTTTTTTAAAAAACAACCAACTATATATATATATATATGTATATGTATATATATATATAAACACTGAAATATCATTAATCCATTTACTCATCATGAATTGCAAATTATTATCTTTAATTATAGACCGGTAATCCAACTAGTACTGTACAATCTACACCATCAATTAAATAATCAATTAACTAACCTTTGGATCTGCCATCAACAAACTCAGTAATCATCCCATCCACAACAAAATCACAAACACAGAAACCAAAACCCTCAATGCCCTGACAAGAAGTTCAAAGGTTTTTTCTCCTCATGGTACTTGTACAATCCTCCAAACTCTCTCTTCCTCCTTCCGTTTCAGCTACAAAATCCCTTCTTTTTGAACCAAACTCTCTTTCTTTAGCCTTAATGCACACTGATTCCTCACTTTCCCTCTTCCCTTCCCTTCCTTCTCTCCCTCCAAAACCCCCAACCCTAGTTCCCTCCCCTTCCTCTTCCTCTTCTTTCCTTCTCATCCACCGAGACCCTATCCCTAAAGTCCTCTTTCTTGTTGCTGGCCCATATAAAGGCGGGTCTCAGATTCTCTTAAGGTTCCATGTTTTACAAAATGACAGCTTTTTTTATAAACCCCAAGTTGTTTGCAATCAAAAGGGTCTTGCTTTTGATTCAAAACTCGGTGTTTTGCTGGATATAAATCATGGGGTTTCTATAAAGATTGTTGGGTCTATTAATTTTTTTGTGCTGCACTCAGTTTCTAGCAAGAAAGTTTGGGTCTTTGCGGTGAAACTTATTGCTGATGGTGATGGTGAGATGCTGAAATTGATGAGGTGTGCGGTGATTGAGTGTAGTGTGCCTGTTTGGTCAATAAGTGTTTCTTCTGGAGTCTTGATTTTAGGGGAGGATAATGGGGTCCGGGTTTTTAATTTGAGGCAGCTGGTGAAATGGAAAGTTAAGAAAGTCAAGGGTTTTGATTCGAATGGGAAGTTGGATGGTAAAGGATTGAAATCGTCCATTGGTGCCGGGGAGGATAATGGGGTCAGTTCAAGTTCCGGGAATGCTTGCAATGGTGCGTTGGATGGGAAGACTGATAAACATTGTGTTTCTGGTAAGTGTGCAAGTACAATGTGTTGCTTTTGAGCTTTGTTGATGTTCATTATGTGCTGAAAGAAGTTGATTTTTTTTTGCTAGTTAGTGTTGGAGTAATGTAAATAAATGTGATTGTTTAGCTTTGTGGTATATAGAACTTAGCAGTTGAGACTTTTGCAATGTGAATTCTGTAGTGCTGTTATTCTTGTTACATGTATTTAAACTCTGTCTGTTTTACTTTAGGAGATCCCTTTCAAAGTTGGAGCATAGTTTCTCCTGTCTATCCTGGACTTTGAATGTGTTCATGAAGGTGGTCTATTGTCCTGCCGGAAATTTTGTTCTTCTAAATTGGGAATGCTCCATTAGTTTAGGATCCAGTGGTTTGTGAATGCTATAAGTATAATTTGATTGCAGATTGATGGACTGTTGTTTTGATATGGGCGCAAGATTTCCAACAGAATTGCTCATATTGTGTTATAGGTCTAGGTGGTACAATTTTAAATCCAAATGTTTTTTCTGAGGCAAAGCTCCATTTGGCAGTTTATTAAAGGGCCTTCCTTTTATAATGAGAGATGAAATTTACCGGGGAAGAGGCTTCCTCTGAATAGAAACAAAATTTGTAATACTAGAGAATAAAAGGAATTGGATCTGAGGATTGTGAACATAAAATTTATTGGTAATTAGTATTGAACCTGTGCAGCTAATTTAATTGCTTGATGAATCAATTGTCTTATTAAATTATGAATTAAAAGTACGATGTCTTCTCCTTTCTATTGTCAACATGTTTATTAACCTTGTCATTTGTAGCTTTCATCAACATTGAAGGTCACATAGCCTTTGCTATGTTTAGGTCTTCAGAAAGAGCCCCTCTTCAGCATCATTTGTTTAAACAAATAGAATGTTGTTGTCATGAAGTCATGATTTCTTTCAATATCATGTTAGCCTTGGTTAATTGGAGGGCAGTGAGCATGTTGGCCTAGGTTAATTGGAAAGGCAGTCAGCAAATTTAGCTTGATTTGGATTTTCATATCTTCTTTGACAAATAAAAATTAAAATCAGTGACACCCTTTAATTGGCTTTGTTGAGAGAATAAAGATATTTTTTTTTTCTCTTATTTTAGATTTAGAATTAAGTTGCCAGCTTCTGCATGTCCTCTCACATTTGTTTTTTTCCTGAAAAGAAAAGAAAATTGCATGGTATATGCCAACTCTAGGATTTTGTGTTGAGGAATAGAAAGGGGATAAATGTAGAAGAAAGTGGGGGAGAGCAGCAGTAGTTGATTTTCAGATTTTAAACGTATTCTGTCAAAGAGTCTTTCTAAAACATAATATCTGTGCTTCTTATAAGCAATGAACAAAATCTCTAATAGTTCAAAAGCAAAATAGGAATAAGAATATCCTAGACCAAAAAAAATAAAAAAAAATAATAATAATAATAAAATCCTATTTAAAGCAAAAAGTCATAAAAGAACTCTTAATTAACACTGAAAAGCTTATTAGCCTAAGCATCCATGACTCGTGAGCTGTTTTTTGTTGGACAGGAGGTAAGAATATCCTAGATTATAAAATTCCTAATAAATGCTAAAAGAATTCATGACAGAATTCTTAATTAATACTAGAAATGTTATTAACGTAAACATTAACCATACTCCATTTTTTGTTACTTTGATATACAATTGTATTTATGGATTTATTGAATCGCCTTGGTGAACAAATGTTCTTTGTGGATTGGTAACTTCTTACCTTTGTACTCCTATTTATCCCATCATTATGGTTTTCATTATCTGTATATTTGCAATTTGCTCTGACAGATTTTTTTTAGGAATTTCTGTTTGACCAGGAAATGGATGAACCCCTATTAAGTGAGGTGCTGTCCTATGGTTAGACACATAAGGATGCCTCTAGATGGTAAATCACTGTTATGAGTATCAAGCTTTCGATTAGGGGCTCTGTTCTTCTTCTTCCTCTTCTTCCTCTTCTTTTTTTTTTGGTCTCTGGCAAGTAATGGTTGCTGAATCTTTTCTTTGATTTTTGATATTTGTTTAGGAGATTAATTGTCGCGCTTGTGGAATCTAACATAGAACTGGAAGTCGTCTCTAAATACTGCTCTTTGTTTTCTGTTGTTGGTTCATGATGCTGACTATCATTTTAACTTACAGTAAAACAGAGATCTGTAAGATGCAGCCAAGACTCTGGTGAAGGGGGTGCTTGTTTTGTGGCATTTAAGAGGGAGGTGACTGAGGGCATGAAACCTACAACTTTGAAGGCAGTTTCTATCCAGGCATTACCTCCCAAGAAATTTGTGATTTTGGACTCTACAGGAGATTTGCATATCTTGTGCCTGTCTGCCCCTGTTGTTGGACCAAATGTCATGGCTCGCATGAGGCGGTTGCCCCATAGTATGAAAGTGCAAAAGCTGGCTGCTTTTCCAGATTTTTCCTCGAGTATCCAATTCTAACTCTTCTTGTTTCCTTTTTTTTTTCTCCATAAAATTTGATGTTGCTTGCATGTCCAACTATGTGATCAAAGTGTACATAGGCTCTTCCAAAAAGGTGATCCAAGGATAATTTATTACATGTTGGACCAATAATTATAGGAATTGGAAATTCATATGTTGATAAGGGAGAATAACTTATGTCTAAATGGTAATGATATCATACTAGGTAAGATAAAATGGAAACAAAGCTTCATAATGAGTTTCGCAAAATGATTCCATTTCGATGAGCAGAATAAATTTTGATTTTGCCTATATCTTTCTATCTATCTATCTATCTATCTATCTATCTTCTTCAACTGAATGATCCTGCTGTTGCTTAGCAGAAATGCAAACTTTTTGGGTATCAGATGGGCTCCATTCCGTGCACATGATAACTCTATCCAACATGGATGCTGCTTTCAAGACAAATGAAGGAGATGTGACCCAGGAAAAGTTAATTCGGATCACAGGTTTCTTTAATCCTCTTTATACTGGCTTCGTTTTTCAAATTAAAACTTCACGTGTCTTGTCTTTTTATTAATATTTGGACTCACCTTTGCTAACAGCTCTCTCAAATGCTGACCCTGAATTTATCTAAAATATTACTGTTTTATATCTGCTAGTTATTCAAGCAATTCTTTCTGCTGAAAAGATACAAGATCTTATACCTTTGGGTGCGAATGGCATTTTGATTCTTGGACAAGGTAACTTTTGTCTTTCTTCAGTCAGTTATTTTGCCCAACTACAACACTAGAAGAACATAAAACGAGAAAAAGAAGATGCTATAGACATTCACTTTAAGTTATATATTTTGCTCCAATAAATAACAGGGAGACATAAGACATGACAATATATCATTGTCATTTTTTTTGTTTGTTGGCAAATGATTGGTGTTTTGAAACAAAGTCTACCATATATTGTTCTCTTTGATGGTAAGTTAGAGTCTTTTAAAAGGTAAGAATTGCCAAACAAGATTTATGATTTCTTCCTGTACAATTGTTATTTTCCATTTCACCATTCATCCAAGGTTTAAATTTCACATTAGTGTATGCAGTAAAGAAAAAATAAAGGTTTTTGGAAATAGTTGAACTGTACCTTTTTTCTTCACTTGCTTTCCAAATTCAAGTAACTGAATGGAATTTAATGTTTTTCTTTTTCTTGAGCAGGAAATATATATTCATGCACAATTCCCTGAAGTTGCTTGGCACTTGGAACTTATCTATCTTTTGGTGGTGAGGATCTTATTGCGTTTCTTCTTATATCATAAATCTTGCTTTATTTCTTTATCTGCTATCCATTGAAGTGGAATGCTGTGTAGGAAATCTATGCTCCATGTTTGTCACAGTTATAGTGGTTTCCTTTCCTGGATCAATGTTCTTAAACAGTAATTATTATTATTATTATTATTATTATTATCTAGTTAACTTATAATGTAGTCAATCTTACCACGGGGATCTGACTGATTGTATTTCCTGAATTTCAGTTGATTACCATGCATTCTCTCTGATTACCATGGTTTTTCTTGTCCTTGTGTTGCTGAAGTCATGAGCTGTAGTTGTTTCTTGTGTATATTGGTACACAAGATCTTAAAGATGTTGAGCTCGTGAAGGTATGTAACATTAGATGTTTTTCATTTCAATATAACTTCTTTGCCAAGTTTTATGGATACAAATTGAAAATAAAACTATCAGAGAAAGTTTCCTGCTAAATCATCTCAGGCTGGAAGATTTTTGACATAAAATTTCTTCCGAATTCAAAATTTGTCGAGAAGACTTCACAGAAAGTATTTCTTTTTTACATTTAGTTCTATAGCATCTCGCAATGTCACATCTGTGCATGCCTTCTTACAAATGAATGGGTTCAGTTTTCGTTTTGTACAAAGCATAACTATTCACTATTAGCCACTGCAATAACCCTGTTAGAAAAGTATACTTAAGCTTTGTACTTCATAGTAACTGTAAATCAGTTTTTGTTTTTCTTCACTAGCGATGTTGATATTCTATAAACTTTTGAGACTCTTGCTGGTTTTTTTTTTTTTTTTTTTTT